GTGTTTGCAGCTGGACGAGTTCTACGTGGGTCAGATCCCCCTGAAGGAGGTGACGTTCGCCCGGCTGAACGACAACGTGCGGGAGCCCTTCCTGCGGGAGATGTGCGCCAAGTTCGGGGAGGTGGAGGAGGTGGAGATCCCCCTGCACCCCAAGACCCGCAAGCACCTGGGCCTGGCCCGCGTCCTCTTCGCCACCACCCGCGGCGCCAAGGACACCGTCAAGCACCTGCACCACACCTCCGTCATGGGCAACATCATCCACGCACAGCTCGACATCAAAGGTCACCACAAAAACACCCCAAAATTGAAATTAAATACATGGGGAGGCGCTTCGGGGGACCCCCAGGTTCTTAAAGTACTGTTTTTGGAGTTCTGAGATCATAAAGTTCCGTTTTTGGAGGTTCTGAACTCTTAAAATTCCATTTTTGGGAGCCCTGAGATCTTAAAATTCCATTTTTGGGAGTTCAAAGTTCTTTAAGTCTCATTTTGGGGGCTTCTGAGATCTTAAAATTCCATTTTTGGGAGTTATGAGATCTTAAAGTCCCATTTTTGGGTCTTCTGAGATCTTAAAACCCCATTTGTAGGAGCCCCAAGGTCTTAAAGTCACATTTTTGGGTCTTCTGAGATCTTAAAATCCCTTTTTGGGGCTCCCGAGCTCTTAAAATCTCATTTTGGGGTCTTCCGAGATTTTAAAATCGTATTTCAGGGCTTCCGAGATCATAAAGTTCCATTTTTGGAGCTTCCAAGATCTTAAAATGCAATTTTTGGGAGCCCTGAGATCTTAAAATCCCATTTGTAGGACCCCTGAGATCTTAAAGTCCCATTTTTGGGGTTACCAAGATCTTAAAATAGCATTTTTGGAGCTTCCAAGATCTCAAAGTCTGATTTTTGGGGCTTCCAAGATCTTAAAATCCCATTTCTGGGAGCCCCAAGATCTTAAAATCCCATTTTGGGGAGCCCTGAGTTCTTAAAACCCGTCATGGGCAACATCATCCACACACAGCTCGACATCAAAGGTGACCAAAAACACCCCAAAAATGGAGTAGGGGGACCCCCAGGATCTTAACATCCCATTTGTAGGAGCCCCAAGATCTTAAAATTCCATTTTTGGGAGTTCCAAGTTCTTTAAGTCCCATTTTTGGGTCTTCTGAGATCTTAAAGTCCCATGTTTGAGGCTTCCAAGCTCTTAGAATTCCATTTGTAGGAGCCCCGAGTTCTTTAAGTCCCATTTTTGGGAGCCCCGAGATCTTAAAATCCCATCATTGGGAGCTCCGAGTTCTTTAAGTCCCATTTTTGGGTGTTCGGAGATCTTAAAATCCCTTTTTTGGGGCTTTCGAGATCTTAAAATCCCACTTGTAGAAGCCCCGAGATCTTAAAATTCCATTTTTGGGAGCTTAAGTTCCTTAAGTCCCATTTTTGGGGTTTCCAAGACCTTAAAATTCGTTTTTGGGAGCTCCAAATTCTTTAAGTCCCATTTTTGGGTTTCCGAGATCTTAAAATTCCATTTTAGACCCCCCAACCTCAAAATCCCATATTTTAGAACACTTAATACCTCAAAATTTTCTTTTTTAGTATTTTGATTCCTTCAGAATCTCATTTTTGAGTAGGGTGAGGCCTTCCCAACCCCTTTGTAGCACCCAAAACCCCTCCAAACCCTGTTTTTTAGGACCCCAACGCCTCAGAATTTTGTTTTTAGACCCCCCAACCTCAAAATCCCGTATTTTAGAACACTTAATACCTCAGAATTTCATTTTTTATTATTTTTATTCCTTTAAAATCTCATTTTTGAGGAGGCCGAGGCCTTCCCAGCCCCTTTGTAGCACCCAAAACCCCCCCAAACCCTGTTTTTTAGGACTCCCAACGCCTCAAAATTCTGTTTTTACACTTTCCAACCTCGAAATCACGTATTTTAGAACACTAAATACCTCAAAATTTCCTTTTTAGTATTTTGATTCCTTTAAAATTTGATTTTTGAGTAGGGTGAGGCCTTCCCAGCCCCTTTGTAGCACCCAAAACCCCTCCAAACCCTGTTTTTTAGGACTCCCCACACCTCAAAATTGTGTTTTTAGGCCTCCCAACCCCAAAATCCTGTCTTTTCGAACATTTAATACCTCAAAATTTTCTTTTTTAGTAGTTTGATTCCTTCAAAATGTCATTTTTGAGGAGACCGAGGCCTTTCCAGCCCCTTTGTAGCACCTGAAACTCTCTAAACCCCGTTCTTTAGGACCCCCAACGCCTCAGAATTTTGTTTTTAGGAATTCCAACTTCAAAATACTGTATTTTAGAACACTTAATACCTCAAAATTTCATTTTTTAGTGTTTTAATTCCTTCAAAATCTCACTTTTTAGGAGGCCTTCCCAGCCCGTTCGTACCACCCTTACTCCTTCCTTCAGGCCCCTTCTTACAAAACCCCTCCAAACCCTGTTTTTTAGGACTCCCCACACCTCAAAATTGTGTTTTTAGGCCTCCCAACCCCAAAATCCTGTCTTTTCGAACATTTAATACCTCAAAATTTTCTTTTTTAGTAGTTTGATTCCTTCAAAATGTCATTTTTGAGGAGACCGAGGCCTTTCCAGCCCCTTTGTAGCACCTGAAACTCTCTAAACCCCGTTCTTTAGGACCCCCAACGCCTCAGAATTTTGTTTTTAGGAATTCCAACTTCAAAATACTGTATTTTAGAACACTTAATACCTCAAAATTTCATTTTTTAGTGTTTTAATTCCTTCAAAATCTCACTTTTTAGGAGGCCTTCCCAGCCCGTTCGTACCACCCTTACTCCTTCCTTCAGGCCCCTTCT